AAACGTCAACTGACCTCAGTTTCATTGAAAGGAAACGCATATCTAAAGATCAGACTGCGGATTATAAAAGATATAGGTACTATATGTTGAATATATTCTATAATTCACGTTTAATAATATTTTTCCTTCGTTTCACATACGTGCACACAAAATGGATAAAATTCACACTTTACTAATGATTATCCTCCAATTGAAATAATTAAAAAGTGTACGTAACGCGGTTCAATTTATTAAACGTTAACATAAGAAAAAATCTGATATGAATCATACCCTATTAAAAAAAAAAAATTCTTTCACTTGCAAAGCAAAAGAAAAATCCCCCAAGACACGAGGTTCAACTTGACCAGCATGCCCGCGTGTTCCACAGTTAATTACACTGAAAACTCGTATAGTAAATCAATTCTACCACGCAACGTTCATTCACCTTATCGATCGCATCTTCCCCCCGGAAGTAACGTAGAAATAAAAATACCCGGTTAATAATAATTCGCATTATTTTCATCGTCGGCGATGGTAAAAAAAGAATCACGTCGCCGTAAAAGAAAAAAGCCGATACACGAGCTTCGCGAGCTACTTTGATCTTCGAAGGACGTTTATCGGCGAAAGTTCTCGCGTTGCTTCCGTTTTTCCCGGGTAAACGCGTCGATGCCAAGAGGAGAGCATCCGCAGGAGGAGAGTTATCAGGTCGTAAGTTCAAAGAACCGCGTACGTAGAAGAGCATCGGTTCTATCGGCGCGTTCGCGGGTATGATATTGCGCTGGCTCGCGAGGACGTGGCCGCGCATAACAAGTCATTGTACGGTACGAGTAGAAATTAGCATTTGCTCTCGCCTCGGTTGCTCCGCGAGATAGAATTCCACGCATCCAGCGTATTTATCGGGTAAAAAGTCTCGGAAGAAACGGCATTCGTGCTTGCGACATCGTGGCGCGCCGCATACTCAACCCCCACCTTCGTGCTTATAATATCGATTTCGATATATCGTAGATATCGATATCGCGGTATCATGGTTTCTCTTGTAGGAATTATTTTTTAAACGTGGATAGTTTTGAGGCTTTAGGTGGAGTTGGGCGCAATTTGACCTACCGTAGAAGCTTTTATTCGTAAGTAGTCATGGTTTTCTCATTTCTTAACACGTTCACGTTGACGCTGCTGTTTGTATTTCTCGCCCATGGGACGGCGCGGTGGTACACGCCATTGATAGACACGCGAGCGTGAGCCACCGGTGGTACACGCCGCCCGATGGATCATACGTCGACGTAAACGGTAATGTCTGTACTTCAATTCTCTATTTTTGAGCAATGCAATTACGTCGAAAGATTTCTCATAATGTTGACATAATGTTGCTGTCTAAAACTCGAAGCTCCTCCATTCGTTGACATATCCTGACTCGAACGATTTCTCCAGCTCGTTCGGATGATTTACAAGAACCATCCTCCATCTCTAATCAAGCATTCAACGTGGCATCCTTTTTCCTTACAACAGTTTAAAGAAACATTACACAGCGTGCCAGGGTATCGCGTATTAGAAACCGCAGGGAACAGTCGACTAATCCGCATAAATTATGGGACTCGTATCGCGGAAGTCGTTTCTAAATTGATTCGTAAATCAATAGTAAAGCGTGACCGAATCACTCTCCGTCTCTCCTCCGCCCTCGCCCTCTGCTCCTCCATCTTTCCGCCACTCTCTTTCACTCCGGATGATACAGGGCGCCAGTCCATCGAGCTCGTTGCATTTGGCTCACGCTTGTGCCAAGGGATGAGCAAACTCATCCTGGGAAAGGTCGAGTAAACCACAGTGATACACGTTTTAGGCCTTGGACTGAAAGGAAGGAAGGAAGGAGATGAGGTGGAGGATATTATATTCATTTTCTGTATCAGGGTGTTTCAAAAATGTTGTAACACCTTGAAATGGGTGGTTCAGGAGGTGATTTGAAACAACTTTTTCCTTAGCGAAAATGTTGTTCGAGGCTTCGCTGAGGAGATATTAACGAAAAACACTGACCAATCCGAGCGCGCGTATGCCGGTGGAGCAACTGCGGTAGCGTATGAGCGCGGCCGCCTAGCGCGTAGCCACGCCTACTGCCGCCGCACCAACGGTATACGCGCGCTCTGATTGGTCAGTGTTTTTTGTTCATATCTCCTCAACGAAGCCTCGGACAACATTTTCGCTAAGGAAAAAGTTGTTTCAAATCACCTCCCGAACCACCTGTTTCAAGGTGTTGCAACATTTTTGGGACACCCGGTATATAAGATGCAGAACAAAATTTGTTCATTCCAACGAAAACTGTTATAATTAGCTCCAACAAGAATGCTACGAACTATATTATCAAGATTAACGACCGACGACACTAACTTTACACGTAAATGTTTAACACTAAACCTACCGACGTTCACTTCTAACCATTTTTATTGGGATGGGACAAACGTCTCTGGTTTTAGAGACACTTCTTTCAATTAATCGCGACTGTTGAATTAGGAACGGAAAACTAAATAGTACCTTCGAAATATACGCTTTATTCATCGATCGACGTTTATCACACACCGAACTGTTCTCGTCGCGTTACGCGTTAGCCATCCCGAAATAAGGAAACAAAAAGAAACATATACGCCGGTCGGTAGCCGCCTGGCGACGCAAGGCTGCATAGATAGTATTTTCGTATAATCCGAGAGCAACAGTATTTTACATGGTACTAAATTGAAAAAATTGCGTATAATTACTGTATAAAAACTGTATAAGAAAATTTGAAGACGGTCATTTGAGCTGTTGCGGTAGGTTTAGTATTGAACGATCATGTGGTCCACGGTCTGTGGTTTGCCAATCTCTGATCTATGCAACCGAACCCGAACACTGAAAGCCACGCAGAAGGCATCTCGGGCAGCACCTCGTGACATTTCGAGTGGCTCGAGGATGCACCGGGACACGACTGCCTGCCTCTGACGTGGCTCTTCTTCCCTGCGGATCGTCGTTATCCAAGGTGTTATGGGAAGAGCCAGTGGGGAACGGTTATTTGCTAGCTCGTTTCTAAGCGTTCGTCGGCTTACGTTATCTTAGATAATGAAAAATCGATAGGGGTCGCGTGCAGTTTCGCGAGGCGCAGAGGAAAAAACGTTACGTGCCAGAGAGTCGAATTTGATTTTTGACGCGTATCGATCATCGCGTGATCCCATTCGCGCTTACGTTCGATGAAGGACATCTTCGATAAGCGCTGATCACTTATTGGACGTAGGGCCTATTCGAATAATGGTTACATATTGTATAGGTATTATAGACAAAGCTTTTCAAAGAGGGATTTAATGCTAGGTTTACGGTGGCAGTACGAAATGCAGAATGTATTTTCCATTAATGTTGCATATTTCCAAGTTCTATGATATCACATTACAATAAATCAAAATTTCACGATATGATACGCGGGCGAAGCCGTGACGGGGCTGCTAGTGTACATATACAGGGTGTTCCAAAAATGTTGCAACACCTTGAAACAGGTGGTTCGGGAGGTGATTTGAAACAACTTTTTCCTTAGCGAAAATGTTGTCCGAGGCTTCGTTGAGGAGATATTAACGGAAAAAACACTGACCAATCAGAGCACGAGTATGCCGGTGGAGCGGCCGCGTCCAATGTCCTTCGATACGCGTCGAGTCACTTGTTCGCGTACGAGCGCTGCCGGTTAGCTCGTAGCCTTCGCTACCGCGGCCGCTCCAACGGTATACGCGCGCTCTGATTGGTCAGTGTTTTCCGTTCATATCTCCTCAACGAAGCCTCGGACAACGTTTTCGCTAAGGAAAAAGTTGTTTCAAATCACCTCCCGAACCACCCATTTCAAGGTGTTACAATATTTTTGGGACACCCTGTATATTATGGACGTGTATGAAAGCAGTAAGATTGTACTTTTACAAAAGTTTTCAATTGGCGATTTTCGACTATTGGACGTGGCTATCTCGAAACGACTACTTTAATTGCCTTCCGTCTCCAGTCATCCTCGGAGAAATCTATAAATTATCGTTTTAATTGCGAACCTTAGTTAATTATGTCTCCCCGTTATGCGAGCTTCAATAATTCCCTTATCCGTAGTTGTTTATAAAACATCGCTTATCTCTATCGCGGGTAATTGACAATAAATTCTAATTAGAATCAAGTGGTTTCATGCGGCGCAATTCTTGTGCCGATTAACGTTGTTTGCGAGTCGGTGCAGCTCGATACGTTCGATTCTTCGATAATTTATTGTGGTCATTATTCATTTTGGGATTCAATTAACTTTTATCCATCGTTTTGTTCGACGCTTTGCTGGTCGGATAATGAAAGAGGAAGGTGAGCGTACACCGTTGCTCTCAATTACCGATGTGTATCGTTAAAGATAAGATATTTAAAAAAAAAAAAAAAAAAAAAAAAAAAATATGGAGTCTGAAAACCGTCGTTATTGACGGCTGTTACGGTTCTTGTCTCTCAAACTGTAATATGCGAGAGCGTAATGTTGTAGTAAGGAGCTGTAGTTTATTAAAAGGCAGAATCAATTTAAATTTTAATGTGCATGGAGAATACGGAACAATATGATAAATGGGAGCTGGGGTATTAGTTTTAGCGTTTAATGGGATTGCCTTTCCGCGTGACTGTTATTGCAGTAATTATTTATTCTTTCGCTTAGGTTTCCTCTAGTTACCGCGCCTCGTTTTAGATAACCAGAAATATGTTCGAGAAATTCAGAAGATGCGATGATGTTTATTTTATCTTTGAAAGTGTCAATTGCTGTAATTGCTGCGTACCTGAAAACTTATCTTCCAAACAACGACACCCCGTTGACACAATAAAAAATAAATAACTCCAATTACTAACAATGTTTAGCTTGATTCCCAACAGTTTGATTTCAAGCGCCCTAAAATTGTTCGATTCTCTAAACGAACAAACCGAGCTGTAATTTGCAATTCCGTAAAGATAGCCAGAAAATTCTTTACCCAAATGTTTGGTCGAACCGCAAATACTGACGTTGGCTCTAATTGGTTGCGCAGGATCAGGAACATGGATCATCAACCGCCCGGTCGGAAGCAGGCGGTGAATTCGCCGGAAGTGGCGATAGCCAACGACGTGTTCGATCAGTTCTGCAATGCAAGCACGCTCAAGTCCATTCTTGGACACTTCAGGCACCTTTGCGAGCTGCTGAAGATCCGACCAAACTCGATCAGCCAGTTTTATCCGAAATTGAAGGGAAAGCTGCGATCGTGGAAGGCCCAAGCTCTGTGGAAGAAATTCGATCAGAGGGCGAATCACAAGTGTTACAATCGTGGGAAGGCATGCCCCAACACAAGGGTAAGTCTACCTCTGCCCTTCAACCCTTTCGACTCAGCTGTCTTCTATTTGAACTCTATTCGTTTCTCTTTTAGAAATTAATTGTATCGCATTAGGGTTGGTTATAAATCAAAGGCCGCAGACAGATAAGCCCCAAAATAATTAATAATCAGACAAAAAATTATGCTTTCAGGTATTGATCATCGGAGGTGGTCCTTGTGGGCTTCGTTCGGCGATAGAGGCACAACTGTTAGGAGCGAAAGTTGTCGTCGTGGAGAAAAGAGATCGAATGTCCAGAAACAACGTCCTCCACCTTTGGCCATTTGTTATCCAAGACCTTCGGGGGCTGGGAGCGAAGAAATTCTTTGGGAAATTCTGCGCCGGCTCCATCGACCACATCAGCATCCGGCAGCTACAGTGTATTTTGTTGAAAGTAGCTTTGATCCTAGGCGTTGAGTTCCACGAGAATTTAAGCTTCGATACTTTGATAGCACCGCCAGAGAATCAGGAAGAAGGCAGTGAGTGTTCCACTCCCCATGGTGTAATCGAGCTTCCAACTCGTTGGAAGTTTGTCCGGCTGTAAAGTTTCCTGGTTGTTTCGACACACGTTGTCAAACAGCAATGAGACACATTTTATTCCTCTTGTTACCAAAGAAATGAAAGATTCTCTAAAAAGTATTTCGTTTTTTAACACTAGATTTACCGTTGTTTTTTCAATTTTGCTTCTTAAGAATTCTTCGAGCAAGTTTATATCTATTTTTGAAGGAATTTGTATGTATGTCACATTGATTGTTTTTTTACGTGGATAAAAGTCAGCATAAGTAGTACCTAGAAAGTACAATCTAGTGTTAATTAAACCAAATAATATGAAATGTATACCATGGTTACAATTAAACGTAAAAGTGATGTAGCTTTAGTATGAACCACGACTACAAACTTTTCTGTTGAAAATGGTTTCAGAAATCGGATGGAGAGCGAAAACAACGCCCGCGGATCATCCAGTCTCCCAATACGAGTTCGACGTGTTGATCGGGGCCGACGGTAAACGAAATACCTTGGAGGGTTTCAAGCGCAAGGAGTTTCGAGGGAAGCTGGCCATCGCTATAACAGCGAATTTTATAAATAAACGCACCGAGGCAGAGGCACGGGTGGAGGAAATCAGCGGGGTGGCCTTTATATTCAATCAAAAGTTCTTCAAAGAATTGTACCACGAAACTGGCATCGACCTCGAGAATATCGTGTATTACAAAGACGATACCCATTATTTTGTAATGACTGCCAAGAAGCACAGTCTGATCGACAAGGGTGTTATACTGCAGGTACATTGGCATTCCACGTACAAATAAACAAAAGATTGTTTTAGTTTATCTGCTCTTAATGTCGATGACGACTGTGTACAAAATGTGTACGTTACTTACTTAGGAGAAGCAGAAATTAACCCTCTATTGCAGGAACTGTACTCTGGTTTTTCAAACTTACACGTAAGAACGCATTATGAATATATCTAAATTTTCTCATGCAACTTTAAACAGCCATTTGGCTATATGATAAAAGTGCATCTAAAACAGGTGTACTAAGGTGTACTAAGATAGTCTTACTGACAAGTCCCCGCTAGGACATTCAACATTAAACGTCATACTGTAATTTTTCTCTATGTAAGATAATAACATACACGTTTGTACATTGCTCGTTGTTTTATCAAGCCGTGAAACAGACACAGATGTTAATTCGATGATGATGATGATGATGATGATGTATGTAACGCTTAGGACCACGCAGACACTGCCAAGCTGCTAGCCAAAGAGAATGTGGATCGCGAGGCATTGATGCTTTACGCTCGGGAAGCAGCCGAATTCTCCACGGAATACCAGATGATGGATATGGAATTCGCAGTGAATCATTACGGGCAACCGGATGTGGCTATGTTCGATTTCACGTCTATGTACGCGGCGGAGAATGCTAGTCGGATTTTGGAGCGTCGCGGTCATAAATTGCTTATGACTCTGGTCGGCGACAGTCTCCTCGAGGTACATTAAAATGTAGCTTCGCGTCTGGGCCCTTGCATCCGTTAGAACAGTAGGATTTATGTAACGAAATCTCAGGTTGAATAGCCTGTGAGCATTTATTATTATACGTAGACATTTTCGGCTAAAATAAGGACTACCTTCAGGAGCAATTCTATAAATTAACGCGTGCACAATAGGAACTATTAAAAAATTATATCATGTATATAATATGAAGCTTAATTAAAACATGTAAATATTCCATTATTCTCAACTGTCGCGTAAGTGCGAAAGTCAGTGCTAAGATCTGAGAGGTGTCCTTTATTTTTGATTCGTCGGAACCTATAACGCGTAATATGCGAGAAAGTATCAGAAAGTGACGTAGAAAATTATTCCAGCCGTTTTGGCCGACGGGTTCCGGTTGCGCGAGAGGATTTTTAAGCTCGATGGATGCCTGCTGGGCGATCAAGCAATGGGGCGCCTCCATATCGCCGTTAGAAGTAATCGCAGAGCGAGAATCGATATACAGATTGCTCGGACAAACTACGCCTGAAAATTTGAACAGAGATTACGCCGCGTACACGTTGGATCCTCACACCAGGTATAACGCACTACTTGGGTAATATAATGTTGCTGCATTGTACAATTTGTTCTAGTTTCAACACCTGTATGCATTATGAAATGTATACGATTAGATTGTATTGCGTATACGTTTAGTTGTACACTCGTCGTTTTCATTAAAAATAAAAAAAGGAGTGCATCGCTAACGAGACGCATGCGTGCAAAACTTACGAACTGTTTTAAAAATTCGAAATTCCAATTGGTCATGTTTCGCATCAAAGCGATTCGTTATTCAGGCAGCTCTTCTAACTTTAATTCTATGTTTAAATACGATATTTGATATCTACTTATTAAGCCATTTACCGTTCCTCGATAATTGTTTTCTCGCTATCTACAGTTAATCAATTCTCTTTAAGATACCCAAATCTGAATGTATCCTCTGTAACTCCAATGCAAGTACGAAGTCTCCTCGATACAGATGATCCCGACAGCATCAAACAGCCTCCCATGCAATCTGACGTCGATATCCCTAAAAAACGTCGCCGACGCGGTAAGTTTTAAATAATTTATTGCCTTTTTATTCGACCCATTACTCGGCTCAAAATGTTAAACGCACCGTAGCGATATTATGACCACAAGTCCATCGTGTATCGTACAGATCTCCGTGGCGAGTCTCAAGTCCATCCAGACACGTTGCTTCGCTGGCTGCAAAGACAGGTCGCTCTTTACGATTCGGTCCAAATCGAGGACATGGGTGCTTCCTTCAAAAACGGTCTAGCTATCTGTGCGATCATACACAGATATCGTCCAGATCTAATTGATTTTCACAGCTTGCAACCAAAGGATATAGCGACGAACAATCAGATGGCCTTCGATTTACTCGAGAAAGAATTGGGCATTTCACCGGCAAGTATCATAAATTCGATAATAGAACATAAGAAATTGTGAACAAATAACATAAACAAGGAATTACGACATTTAAGTGTTGAATTTTGTAGATAATGACGGGAGAAGAGATGGCCGAGTGCGATGTTCCTGACAAGCTCGCCATGTTTTCGTATTTGACGCAAATATACGAGGTTTTCCGCGGCGAAATCCCGTATATTAGACACTCAAAACTAGTAAGTAAATTTCCTATCTTGATAAATTGTAGATTCAATTGTAAATCGTATTCCGTGTTTTGTAGTATTCGGTATCGCATCCAAAATCACGGATAGAACCATCAACTGAACACTCTTTGATAAGCAAGACACATCCTCGCCCAAGATCGCCCGATCCTTCGTTCCATTGGAATCGTTCTCCATCAACCATCGTTCATAACCAGAGATTAGAATCATTCACACGCCCCATTCCTCGAACGTTTTCTCCAGAAACCGTTAAATCGTTAGACTATAATAATAACAGGATATCCTTAAGCAAAACTGTCTCGGATGATAACAGATTCGGATTAACCTGGATAAGAAATAAATTTTGGAAAAATGTATTTGGACCGTCGACGAGGAAATCGTCAACAAAATTTGATAGAGAGTGCTGGAAATGTTGTCGCATGGAAAATAGTAAAGTTAACGAGCCAATAATATTCCCTTCCAATTAATTTCATCTTTAAGTAGCGATATAGTTCGTATTATTGTTTACCAACCGTTGTATTGTTTAATCGTGTTTCACGAAGGAACCCGAGAACGAAGAGAGACCTGCTCACAGTAAACAATTGAGCCAATTAACACCTGACCAAAAGGTTCATTTACTCGATCGTATCGTCAGTAGGCAAGAGAGCGCAACGAGAACGAGACACTCGAGATCGCGACATAACGAAAATTTAAATCCCGCCGATAAGAAGGGGGACACGATTAGTCGACGATCTCGAAAGAGACGCAGCACGGAGAAGATGGGTGCAACAGTGGTAGGTTTCTTTGCTTTTTTATTTCTAATTGATAGTTCTTCAGAGTATCGGTTATTATAATATACGGATCAGGGCACTTAAGACAATCCATCAAAATAACTCATTGGAGTTTTAAAGGAGATATGATAGTCTAAATTATCAAAATCTTCATATCTTCTTGACACCTTCGTCTACATGATTAGCTTCCCCTTCAATTCAAGCAAGAATTGTTTAAAGCATTATTGTCTACTGTCAGGAGTTCTTTGGGTGGCTTGTCTTAAGTGCATCACCCTTCGTAACCATATGTTTTTAATTGCTTTTAATCAGCAGACAGTCCAAGGTTGAAACATTCTGTTTTCCTTAAGTACAAGATCAACCCTTTGCGTGTCGTGATTAACAATTTTTTAAATGTTTATACATACAGAAAATCAAGTGTGAATTGCAAAGGGTTGGATCGCATTCTTTAACGCTTTATGGAATAGATATAAAATTAATTCTTTAATAGCGTAAACAGGATATATAAGCTTCGTTAATTATATTTTTCACGTACAAGTATTCCATAAGGGGTTGAAAATTAACCACAACTGGCCCATACACACACACGCGATACTTACAATGCTTGTATCCTATAGTCATGGTGGCAGAAGATTGAAGCACTTATGTATCGTGGGATATTCATATCGTTCTTAATCGTAATTATTGGAGTTGCCATTGCCATGACGCTGAAGGAAGTCATTGCATTCTAGTCCCTTCGCATAATCAACGAAAGTGTCAGTGGAACGTTGCGAACACTATCGGTTATGTTTGAAACTTTTTCTAGATACATACTTATATAAATACTTGTTTATGTCATAATATATTTGCTACGCCGGCTTTTTGTATTTGTCCCATTTACTAAAAGTATTTTAAATGAACAGATTACGGTAGATAACATTAAAGTTGTGTTCTTTTTTTTGCTCTAATCAATACAACTTGTTCAAAACAGTGTAGTTCATTGAACATTCGAGAAACAGAACAGATGATGTCCACTAAGTACACTGTTTTAAACAAATTATGATAGAGTTCTTTCCTATTTGTTATAATAAATGTCCCGCTAGAAGAAGAAAATCTAGATCTCAAACAGTAGAAACCACATTTAACGATCTTGTTTTGCGAAGAACAGACATTGGTAGCGTAGCCAAAACTCGAGATAGAAAACCCTCGATCTTCGTCTACCTTGTTATCTTTTTTTCTTTTTTTTTGCAACACATCTTGTCACTTATAATCGTCCGAATGTAATAGATAGTTGAACCACGTAACATAAGGTGTGTAAATTGTGTATATTAATTTAACGAAAATGAGACTTAAAGCTGGAAAACAGAAACAGACGTTCGGATTGTCGAAGTAATCGAGAAATTAATGTGACGCTGTTGTACGTTTTGCGGTGCACGTAAAGGAGGAAAGGCAGAAGAGACTCAGCGAAATAGAACAAAATCGCGCAGAACGTATGAGAAGGCGACAATATTTGCGAAAGATGGCAACGCAGCAATTCTACAAAAGTATGCAGATGCTGCAGGCGAATGCGAAACGCGAGAAAGACGAGCCGTTCGAAGATTATTCGATATTCTTGTATCGTCAAACAGCGGCGGATTTCAAGGATAGAGTGAAATATATAGAACAGAAAATATTGCACCCAGTAAGCTGGAGAGTGAATAATTTGGGAGTGTACAATGTCTTTTCTTTTTCTTTTAAGTAAGCTTTTAACAAACAGCTACACATCAGTCGAAGAATATTATTATCATTGTATTCATCCAATGGATATGATGGATGATGTGATAAAATATATATGATATAATACAATAAATTTTGTATGTAAACGACATAGTCATTGAACTGGTCGTTTGTATACTAATTTATTTTATTACGGCCAGCAATCAAATCGTACTGTTATTTTTTTCATTAAAAATTAAAAACGGTGTGTGTTAACTAACTGTACAAAAAGAGTACAAGTCTACGAATTTTATGCATGCGATATGCATCAATAATATTAAACAATGCGAAGACTTCCAGATATGTTGCTAACTGTTCTCACAAAGTAATGGTATTCGTTATATCAACAGAATATTTGTATATATTTTTTTAAATGCTCTGACACTAACGCAATACACTATGAAGGAAACAAACGCTAATCGGCTAATAATAACAAATGTATATTAATCAAATTCCTGGTTTTCCTACTATCCGCTGGGATTACGAATTATGATGGCATTTTCGCTTCCTTTTACAAGTGTTATGAATTTGTGATTGTCTTTATAGTTCCGTGCGTATATTCAATTCATTTCACGCTACAAATTGTTTTTAGGATAGAGAACCCAAGATACATGCTGGTCATCGTAGAAACAGTATAGATGAAGAATTCTCAGGAAGAATAAAAAATATCGAGGATAAATTGAAGGGATCTACTCCATCCGAAAAGAAGCCCAAGGATCTTCTACGTGCCATTGGTATGTGTTATAATATTTTTCACCTAAATATATACGAATTATATGAGTGCCATTTTGTTGGTGCAACTATTCTCCATCTTTCGCACAACTTGAAGATTCCGTACTTTCAGGCAAAATCGAGAAAAGCGATTGGAACGTGAAGGAGATCGAAAAGAAAATCGAGGAGAATAAAATGGGTCGTTCCGTTCGACACGAAAAAGTAGAACGAGTCCCGAAATGGAGTCGAGAGCAGGTTGGCATATTAAAGATTAAATGTACTCGCTGGTCAACGTTTTTTCAGATGTGTATATGCTTCATTCAGTTTTTAGCTCGACAAATCAAGATGGAGAAGAAGGGGCGTGATCAGAAGGATACAGATAGTAAGTACGCTGATATTGACAATACCCTGAAGAGTATAGACAGGAAGATCAAAGAGGGTAATGTGCTCGGGTACAATAAAGTCTCAGCTATGGCTGAGCAGTTTTCGAATAAAAGTCAAGACGCGGAGCCCAGGGTGCAGAAATCGGTAAATACGATGTCACAGAATCTCAGTACTCGAGGATATAGTCAGCAAGATGTTCGAAGTCTTTGTGATGTTCATTATATTTTGTACAGCACTTTGTGCGAGACAGTTAATTCGTTCCATGTACCCGTCTGTCTGTCTGTCTGTAAATATTATTTATTCATTTTTCACAGGATACAAGTGAATACATTTTAATACACATTTAGTGTAGCGTCTATAACTAGTAACATCCACTACTAAACTATTTACTAAAATGTCAAAGATCCTGATAATATACTTTCTAGTACTATACTTACAATATGTAGTAATACCTTTTGTTTATACATCGCAACGTAACAATTAATGCGTTACTAAAGATGATCCTGGTTTCATTTAAATGGAATATATGTGCTGACTAAAATTCTTTTGTATTGAACATTGCAAGGTAATAGTTACTACTTCAGTTTCGAATATTTTTTACAGAATATTAAGCCAACGATAACGTTGCCTACACAAGGAGGTGCGGAGGTGTGTCATTTCTGCAATAAGAGAGTTTATTTGATGGAAAGACTTAGTGCCGAAGGGAAATTCTTCCATCGAGGATGTTTCCGTTGTGAATATTGCTCTACCTCGTTAAGAATAGGTTTGGCATTCGTTCTAATATTTGTCATTTATTCTTACATTTTAAAGTCGAGTCGAATAAATTTGTATTCGCTCGTTCTTTACTTGCATAGGAAACCATACATTCGATCGGGAGAAAAATGGAGGACGATTCTATTGCACGCAACACTTTGGCTTCTCGGGAACGATAAAAGCTCGCGCAGAAAAGAAGAGACTTACCGTATTAAATAAAGAGAATATACCTAATGCACCTGTAAACTTAAAAACACCTGAAAAGGTATCGTTCGAGTTCTAATTCCGTACATAAATTACTCTTTTGTAATCAGTGGTATGAATTAGAATTATTACTCTTAGACAAAGATACCTTTGGAGGGCGTTGTCGGACTTGATTTGCTCGATCGTGGTCAAACGCCTGAGAGAATAGAATTCGAAAACTTAGCTGGTATATCAGATGCTGAGGAACCTCAAAGTCAAATGGATGAGGATGAATGGACGGACAGAAATTTCGGTGCTTCCACTGCAGAAATGGGCTCTAGTGACGACATTTCGGACATGAGGTAATTTACTTCCACCTTTTTCTAGAAAAAGCGTTTTCTTTTCCTTTTATTTACTTTGCAAATTTGTTGTTTATTGTTTCATTAGTGATTCAGACGACGATAACGAAGTATATGAGGAAGCAATAGATCAACCACTGACAACTGAAGGAACTCTTGAACTTGCTAAAAATTGGACGTTACGGTATTCTCATCCGCATGCAGAAATGGGCCAATCCGACACAGGTAGCAACGAATATGAAGATTCTAGCGATGAATATACGAACGAAGGTACCGTTATAGTAAATCTGTTTACTATTTGGCCAATTGTAGAAGCAGTATTCTTACGGTTCTTGTTTGTTATGACTGTTATTCAGATGACGAGAGTACAACTGCTACGGAAGATGAAGAGGATATACGTGCAAGAGAACTGAGGAAGCAAGAAGTTTGGCTGAAGCATCCTACTCGCAGTTCCAGTACGGACACTGGTTCAGAAACGGAGGTGAAAATTTCTCAAGATACTGTAGATAATATAACTCAAGAGTCAGTCGTACTTCCCGAATCTGTATCTGTGCAAGCCTCTAATTTAGTACCTCCCCAGGAAACGAACACGATTAACAGTGAAACCGTAATCGATCAAGACGTTATTGACACTAAAACTATTCAAAACCCATTGAATACAGAAACATTACAAAGTGATCAATCAGTAGTAAATACAGATGGGAACACATCTCAAAGCGCAGCATGTGGAAGCATAATTTCAATACCTGATCCCTCCCTTGATTTGACTATAGATAACTCAGTAAATAATGTCGCTAATTCAGAAATGCCTTTACTCACTTCTAATCAGTTTGAAAATAGATTAAATAAAAATAAAGATACCAAAGAATATATTTCCGAATATGAAAGTCTAGTAGAAGAAAATGTTTCAAACTCAACTAAACTCCCGGAAGTCTTAAATGAGTCGCCAAATGAAACTAAACATAATAATTCTATCTCAGAACTCAGTAATATCGGTATTAATGAATTAAGTAATGAAATAGTTTCCTTCGATGACGTAGTAAGTAAATTAAATGTTATCCACGATGAATCATCCCAAAATAAAATTTCTGATAACAATGATTTAAACAATAAGGTTATCCCTGGTTTAAATATTGAAACTACAGAAGCAAGTAATATATTAAATACTCAACTGCAAACAGCGTTTGCAGGAATTATGCTTCCAGATGCTATACCAATTAGTCAAACTAGTTATGATAGTACAATGCTGCCTAACGCCGAAGAAAGTGCAAGCTTCAAGGAGAAACTACCGGATCTGATAACTTCTTCTCCGAATCGCAGTAGAGAATCATCACCATCTTCCTCGTCTGAAATTTATAAGTCAACCGAAACATTGTACGATGAATTATGCATGTCCGACGCGCAAGATAAAATTACTGCAGACGAATTAGAAAATGACCTGTTGGACGGAAGAGAGAACAAGTTGAAATTGTTCATAAAAGATATTGAACGAATACCAACCGTGACCATTACTTCTCCATCTCCAACGAATGAGAAACCACTACATGGTTCGCCATCTGTCGAAGTTATGAAGTTAACGGTTCCCAAAGAAGTCCGTAGACAACCAGTTCAAACCGAAGGGAATAGTTCGTTTGACAAATTAAAACGAGATTTACGGCAAAGAAAAGCGAAGAACAAAATTCCAGTGGGTGAACTTCGACCACTGTCCAGAGAAAATGCTCAACAAAAAATGAATAAGTATTTTGTACCAGAGAAAAAACAAAAAACAAAGAGTCAAAATACAATTGCTGGTAATGAAAATTTGCCTGGTGTTAAGGTCGTCGAGCTAGACATTAAACCCAAGTTATCCGCGAAAGTTGAAGCTAAGGATATAATGAAATATTTTCAGAAAACAAAACTTGGGTCTCCTGAAAAATTAGAAACTCTTAGCGACGACAAAAGACATGAAGATGAATGTGATATAAGCATGGGTATCGATGACAGCGATACTGATGCTATCAATTTGCAGTTTGAAGAAATAGGACAAGAGGTTGGAAACACACTTTCAATCGATATTGAAGATATAGAAGCTAAACTAGATTTGAATACTCCATTCATAGATATGCATTTAGAAAACGCAGAAAAGTATACAACAAATAAAAATAACATAGAAGAATCTGTGGCATCTTCTACAAAAGTTGAAAATAAAATTGGTGTACTACAAATGGATTCCGTAAACGAAGAAAATATTAATTTAAACAGTAATGTCGTAAAAAATAAATTACGCGAAGAGAAGGTAGACGTTAACATTGATACATGTAAAAGTATTGAGATTAATGCAAAAGAAACAACGTTTATTCCACACATTGACAGCAACACCTTACAATCTACGTTACACGAAGAAAAAACAGATGCGATAGCGCATTCTTGTGAAAATACGGAAATTAATGCAAACCAAACAATATTACCTTCACAACTCGACAACAACATACTAGAAAGTAAATTAAACAAAAATGAAACACACGTTGTAATTGATCCTCGGGATATCGAAAGTAATGCAAAACAAATAACGTTTACTTCATATCTTGATAAAATTAAAATAGCCGATATTAATAAAAATAATACTTTGCGTGCAAGTGATAGTAATCTAAATGTAAGAAAACAGATTGCTAATACAACCGATGGGTTACATAAAAACTCCAAATCTTCTTCTGAATTAACAAGCCTTTCACCTGGTTGCGAATTAATCGCGAAAGTTAAAATTGTCGAACAAAATATCGAAACACCAAAACAAGTAAATAAAATAAATATAAGTAGTAACATAATTTCTTTGGGCCCAGGGGAGGAAACTCCAAGGAGACCAGAAAGGAAACATGTTCAGCATGAATTCAGTTCTTCAGCGAAGTCTAGAACTAGTAATATACCATCTGTTCCTGAAGTTCCAGCAAGGAAAAGATCAACAAAAAGAAAGCCTACCTTTGCATCTTCCTTAGAAGAATCTACCTCTAATATACAATCGAGTTTCGTCGCAACCAATGAAAGATTGACAATACCAGACATTGTTACCGTTAAACACGAAAATACTATTAAGGAAGGGACTAACAACCCAAAACACTTGGCCGAAACAGTCAAAGACAAGTCCAGTGGAACGAGCAAAATTTCGAACACATTAAAAAATACTCCTGCTGAGCAGAAACATTCTCACTTCACAAAGCCTTCGCCATCGAACAAATCCGATCAACTCGAATCAACAAAATCTGTACCTCCTAAAATCGATCGATCAAAGAAAGATAGATGTGTAGTGTCCTAACATATGTAAAGCAACTTTATAATCGATACAACATATATGAATTAATCTTTAATTGCTACGAGTACATTACATACAGCGAAGAAATCAATTAACATAATTGTTACATCTCTGCGAAAGTGTATTTTTCAGTTTTATGCCTAATGTTTAGGGAAATTATGTGAGATACGTTAATAAAGTAAAAATAGATATTACTTGTAGTTGGCTGATGGTGATGTATCATTTTAAAGTACCCAAGGCCATTGAAGAAAAGGTAAAGCATTTTTATATACGAATGGAGTGATCTATCATACTAATATTGAATTAACAGTGACTCAAACCGATTGATTGTTTGTGCTTGGTTTAGTGTTCGTGCTAAAACTAGCAATGTAACTTACCAATTTTGTATTAATTTGGAAATTACCACCAGCCAATACTTTATTAAAAATCTCACTGTGTCATTTTAGTATATTTCAAGCAATCATCGTCATAATTAATTTCACATTGCAAAGTGGGCAATTACAAGTGATTAATTAATTAGGAGCATTATACATTTTTTCGATAAATTCGTCTCACACTTAAAACTCATCGTAACAATGAATTTGTATGTCAATATTTGAACTCTAAAAAGTGTTGAAAGAAAGTAAGAAATTTTATGTACAGAGCATTGTTCTGATCGAGTGCATCGTGTTCCTTGGACTTTTATTTGTCATCTGACTAATACACTAAAAATGAGTTTCTGTTTTCCGATAACACCTAATGTATCCAATGCTCTCGTTCTCTTACTAATCGACGTGTGTTCCGCAGGTTGCCTCTAACGATGCTACATCAGAGGAAAGCGAGGAGAATTCTGCCACGGAAATATCAACAGACTCCGAATTCGAGCACGATGGCGCGACTCCCACTCAGCACGAGATACCAGAAATCACAATCAACGATTCGTTTGTCCGCAAGACCAGGGGAAATTACGCTGAACCTAAGAGAGTTCAAGTGAAGAGCAAAGTTATATTACCGTCCAATGGCAACCTGAAGCAAGAAAAAGTCACAGATGCAAAGTCACAGTTGAAGAAAACTGTTCACGCTATTAATCCTTCCCACCCAGAAAAGGAAGGGAACACAAATTTACCAGGGTCCAATCATATACACCGAGCACCACTGATAAATCCTCGTAAAGGTGATTATTTATTGAATCGAACCCACTCAACGGAAGGCATCGCTTCCAAGTTATCCTTGGAACTGAAGAAGAAGTATTTACTCGGTGGCACAGCATTCGGTGGTTCCGTTATGAAATCTGGATCGGCGTCGAACGTGGACACTCAGCTACGAAACCTGACCGACGCCATTTCTCAGCATCAAAAGCTCTTGAACCCAGCCCCAGAACCAAGTCCTACGATGCAAGCGTTCTTGCAAGGCACTAGTAAACTGCGATCGAACAATACTCAACTTTCACCCATATCACCTACAACTCTCTTCTCCTCGTCTCCGATACGACCATACACCGCCAACCGTTCCCCTCAAAATTTACTAAATAACGACAATCCTATCTACAAAGCCACGATTTTGAATGATGTATCAAAGACCCAGTTGCCAGACTTGGTAAAGGAATCGAGTATTCTGAAGTCAAAAACTGCCCCTAACATTGTCTGCACCGAGTCTAAGAGCGTGGCAGACAAAGAGACAAAGAAGGTACAAGTAACGTCTAGTCAAATTAAAAATACCGAGATACTGGAGAATGCGAAAAACTCCCAAAATGTAGAGAATAATTTCACAGGACACATGGAGGAGACCAACGGTTTCAGGCCACGGAGTCCGTTACACGAGACCTCCATCATAGTGCCTCAAGTGGATTGGAGTAAGAATAAGGAGGAGACGAAGGAGACAGCCAGTAGCGGGGACTCGGAGATAGACAGTGATTCTTTGTCTTCCAGCGATGGTGAAGCGGAACAAGGAGTTCAGGCTCAGAAATTGGTTGCTATGAACTTGTCCCCGCCTCGATTGCAAATTCATAGTACAGAGGGACACCTTTTATTAGACGAGGAAGCAGATAAATGCAGGGACTTCGACGACGGTCAATCGTTTGAACCCGACTCCATAGAGTGTTCACTCCTGCGGGACAAAGAGTTGAACAATAAGGCAAAGTTAACAACACTGGATCCAATTCCCTGCGCGAACGAAACGTCGGTGGAACTGGAAATAGTGAAGAACGAAATCGAGCAGCTGGAATTGCAGGACGACGGCAAGAAAAGCGTTAGCAATTGCAGTAGCCCCACGTCGGTAGCTTCTGCTATATCCAACAAGCATGACGATTCCGAGGAAAACGATCTCACCACGGCGGCGCTCACTGAAACCGAATTCTCAGAATGGGCTCGCGATGGCGAGGTTCTAGTTTCAGACGATCTGCGAGATGTTGAATTTAACATTAATCCAGAGTTCATCACGAGAAGGAAGACTACGTCTGACTCCACGAGATTAGGCTACGGTCCCATAACAATAGCCAAAGAAGAAGATTTGACGGATCAGGACTTGGATTCTATTAAATTCGATAAGAAGTCAGCCATCCTTGCTAATGATACCTCGAAACTTCTAGCTAACGGTGAAAACATAGATTTCATGGACACTGATAACGATTCGTTATTGGATGATAGCCTGCAAGACGCTTCTAATATGGCGATGCTCAAGAACAGAGGATACGTCGAATTTGTGAATATTAAAAGCTCTTCGACGCCTGCTGGTTCCCGGGAAAAATTATTCGCCGATGCTCCTATAGCGAAATTGGACCTAGAGAATGATTCGTGCTCGGAAGAAGATGTGTATAATAATAGAAATGTGATAGAAATAAATCCAATTACGATGGACGACGTGAGGAATAGGTTGAACGGTGCTGTGAAGAAAGCAGAAATAGAAGAAAATACAGATGCAAAGTTGAATAGCAGACAAGATCAACCCATCGTTGAAGCAGTGAACAAGGAACTGTTTCAATCGATGGAAGAGGATAGTTTATTGATCGTCGAGCCAGCCGAAGATACCACAACTAGCGAAGTAATCACAATTCTGGCCAGCCCTGTCAATCCACAAGTTTCTATAGTTCCAGCTCTAACGCAAGGCCCCAGTCAGGAGGAACAGACGAAAACGGTGGCAGACTCCAGCAATCCGGATTACTTGGAGTACGTGAAACGTCTACAATCCCGAATCGCCGAATTTAGTAACGCTAAAGATTCTATAGACGTGAGAAAGTCGAAGAGAAAGAATTCGAAGACTTCTTTGCAGTCCCGCACCGCTGAGATGATAGCAGAGGAAATCAAGAGTCAAGAAATAGCGGTGAACAATAGTTTTAACTCTCCAGTTACCTCGAGGAAACTGGAAGAAATTACAAGGGAGAGGTCCAAGCAGAAGAATGTAATACAAGATTTACTGATGGACAAACTAGAGGCTCACAAACAAAAATCCGCGGAGAAGAAGGCAAGAAGAGCTGCCAGAGCTTCATCTTTTAACTCGACACCCGTTTTGTCACCGATAAGACCACTAATACCTAACGCTTCGCCTGTGAACAAATTTGTGCCCACGTCCATAGTAACACCAACGAACAGTCCACTGCGAACCACATTTGCTGAGTCTAAAAATTCTCTGGTGATGGAAAGGTCTCAAGAGCCTCAGCAATTCTCTTGGAAGTCTGAAACTGAAAGGACAGAAAACGACGAAAAGGGCAGAAATGAGGTTCAACCCTCTGAGAGTGTCACATCAGTTCAAGCAAACAACGAAGCAGAAAACTTCTTCAAAACACCAGTTGCTCCTCCTAGGTTGAAGCACGAGGAGGCGAAGAGAACAGCAGAAAAGGCAAGGCAAGATGCTAGAGAAAGAGCTAGATTGATGAGCGACGAGGACTTGGGTCTCAGTCCCGAGGACAAGATCAAGGAATTGAGAATGAAAGTGGCCAGAAGACAACTGTCGATGGATGATAAAAAAAGTAAAGAGGAAGCGGAACCTGAACCTAGAGCAAGATTTTATAGTACTGGAGCAAGCAAAACTGGATTAAAGCTCCAGACAAGCAAGAGTACAGACAATATGAAGGCTGTAGTAGAAGCAATAAATTTTGAAGGTTTATCTGCTACCAATGCGAAGTCGATGGACGAGCTGTTGCATGCTAGTTCATCTCCAAAAGCGAATAACGCCACTACCGTCGTGAAAAGAGACAAAAAGCAAAAGCCGAAGGATCCTGAAAGAAGAAAGAGTATCATTCAGGCAGTGTCGGATTTCTTTTTCAAGAAAGACTCCTCGCCATCGCCGTCCAATCAGAAAGACAAATTGTCTATGTTCCGTCTGACATCTAAATCGAAAGGCAAAGTACGTATACACTATTGTTCGTCCATTTGTTATCTTCCACATTCTGTCTCTTGTACAAAGCGAATATGTTCCTGATTCATGATTTCCTTTTAACTAATAAGATTCTAAAATGTTTCAGTTATGTAAATCATATTCGGAAGGGTCAGATGTAAGCAACTCATAAGTCATAGATACTAATTTTTCCAGTATTAGCTTTCTTATATCACTATTTGTATTCGCTATTGTATATCGTGCAGGTACTATGATTTTATTTTCGTTTGCTGCATTTTCACGCCTGCTTTCAAGGGGTGACATATTAATTGGCATAAATTGTGTTAAATTTGATTTACATTGTACAGTTATTAAATACCTGTAGTAACAGTTTTTCCTGAAGTAAGCATGCGAGTTTATTGCATATATAAATTACTGGGTTCTCTCTATTTTGTAGAATGCTTTAATGAAACTGTTTTTAACATAAGTATAGAGTGTAAATATTAAAAAAATATGAAGGATCTATTTACTGAATGAAATGACGCGTTAACAATATTTAATGCTCCAAAATACAATGAAATTTTATTATAATATAATTACGTAATTATAGAACGGTTGCTATTACATTCAATTTCTTGTTAAGTTTTTTTGTAACACGTTAATTCTATCAGTCAGAAATTTACATACTTAGAACGTTGGTTATTGTACTTGTATAGTATGTATTACTGTGTGTGTGTGTATATGTGTTTTACAACTGCATTAACTTTCCATGGTGAGCTTACACTCTCTCGAGAGCGTTTATTTGTTTTCCATAGTCTTTATTTCTAGTATTAAAATATTCTTAGTTTCAGAAGCGAGTTAATTTTTCATATTTACCAAAGATGTAACAGGAAATCATTGCTACAGGGAATTTCTTTTTCAGCTTGATAAGGTCGTACCAGCGAAAACTACTACAAGACCTAAAAGTGTTTGCGAAGGTATGCTCGCTAGAAATTTCCTAAACGAACATCCGCCACCAATTCCACCACCCCCACTTAACTACACTATATGTGCTACACAAGTATCAGGTATAGACCACATATATTCACTATCATAGTTGATAAATAATAAAATGAACGCTGTACTTTATAATGAATTTAATTTTGTAGATGATAGTTTATCAGAAGATGACACGAAGACAACAGCAGTGACGACATCATGTATGCAAAAAGCCACAATCACAGAAGGATCGTGCAATAGTATTTCTCGTAAATCAAAAACTACAAAACGAATAGCTAGACAAGCACAATTAAAAAGGTATACGACAAAAGACATTTCACGTTCTAAATATTTAAGAATATAATATATTATAATTTGATTAGGTTACGTATGGCTCAAGAAATACAAAGAAAATTAGAAGAAACGGAAGTTAAGCAAAGAGAATTAGAAAGTAGAGGTGTCAGCGTTGAAAAAGCTCTTCGTGGAGAAGGAGGTGAGACCAAATGTTGTCATTATCAAGGACCTATCTATCGGTATCTAAATGCTATCATTATTATTTAGAATGTTCCGATCGAGAAGAAGCGGATTTACTCAGGGAATGGTTTGATCTGATGAAGGAACGAACGGAATTGCGTAGATATGAAAAAGAACTTTTAGTACGAGCTCAAGAGGTTCAGCTTGAAGATCGTCATGAAAGATTACAACAAGAATTACGGGAACGTTTAGCTGACGATGGTTAATATTTTAATACAGCGTAACTATAATTGGGAATGCATTGAATACAAACTTTTCTTCAAATATTCTCTTAGGAAATTGTTTGGTAAAATAATGTAAAAGACAAAAGATATATTTAAATTTTACAGATAATAAAAAGACCAGTGCTGATGTAAAAAAGGAAGGGGAAATTTTGACAGAAATGTTGGAAATCGTCGCGAAGCGGGATTCGCTCATCGCCCTTTTAGAAGAAGAGCGACAAAGGTGGTGTAAATCTACATGCCAAACATTAATACCTTTTTCTACACAAACACTTGCCTGCTCCTCGCACGAATCTAATTTCTGTTCTCATGATTTCAATGATACATCTTCTATCCTCACTTTGATAGTCATTTTACTCGCGTATGTGTTTTTTACTAACTTAATAGAATTCTTCGTTAACTTTCACAAAGACTGCTTAACATTTTTTACATCTTAAATATTTTTTTTACCTTATAAATTTCACAAATGATGCTCAGTTTTCTTCATTTTATAAATGAAAGGATTACTTCTTTATAATCAATTTCGTTTATAATATATTATATGATTCAGTTTTGAATGTTATTTCTTGTTATAATGCTATGCATATTTTTTATCGTACTCGTTTTTTAAAGTAGCATATGTCCATGCTATTAAAACTAATGAACAAAATAATGTTCTTATATAGTGCCACTCATTTGTAACGTTGATGTTACAACGCATGTTATACAAGCATGAATTTTAAACATTTTTTTGTGCAATTGAAACATTTATCAAGATACTATTATGCATGTTATTCATTTATACACATTTTTCTTTATTGTTTTCCCTTACAAGTATTTATTGTTCTTTTTTTTTTTGCATTGTGATAAAGTGATGTATTCATATACATGACTGTATTGTAGTGCCAATGTATGAATGAAAATATTTTTAGTTGTACTTAAATTTATTTCTAGCTATGTACAGAGTTAAAACTATAGCAACATGAGAATTACAGTAATGTAACTATTGTTAAATTTTGAATTATCCTTCATGGATACTCCGAAAAGAATAAAATATATTATTTTATGTGTTTATGATAGTTATTTCCTAAACACATATTGTTGTCACAAATGATAGTAGGAGCTAAGAACGACTTAGGTAGATTTTGAGAAAGACTCAAGAAATGATACTTAAACAAACGCTTAAAAAAGAATGGAAGTATATTGTATATTATTACAGATTTGCTTAATGTTACCTGTGATACTAAAATACATAAGACATATATATTTAACCAATCATAATAAACATTTTTGTTACATAACAAACTATTTCAATATTTTGTTGCTTTTGTATTAATTCATATCTGTGACCTTTTAACTGCACGAAATAAAGATGTTATTATTACAGTGAAAATTGAATTCTAATTATAATATTCTGCAGTTAATGGAAACACTTTTCTTTTAGGTATCAAGATGAAGATCGCGACCTTGAAGCTCAAATGTTGGCTAAAGGCCTCAGATTAACGCCAATAAAAAAATGTGGTCCTAAGTATTCGATTTAATAGGAATCACATTATTATTGTACATATACTCCATTCTATATTTTCATTAATGAATTTTAACAAACATTCAAATTAATGATACTGTAAATAAGGAGCAAATAGTAACTTATACAGAATGAAGATTAACTTACATGTAAGTTTCATGCATAATGAAATACATATTGTATTATAAGTCTCTCATTGCATAAAAATGAGTCGCGCATATTAATTTTAAAATCATGGACCAAACATTTTATTTTAAATTTTTAACTTCATGTAATCGCCTAGTGCGAATTTTTGATTCCGAGTCGTACACGTCGTGTATGTTTCTGAAAGTCTTTGTTCATTTACAGTATACATTTTTTTATGTATAATATCGAGCATTTATAAATTGCCCGAGCACGTGGAATTGTATTATAAATGAACTTCGATCCTTTTCGCTTAAAGCTTAAGGTAAGATTAACTCATGAGTAACAATATGATTATTAATATTTATATGATCATAATGAAAATTATTGCACATATATTGTGCATACCTGTACAGAAACACAATGTGACATATGGATTTGAAAAAAATTTTGTGAATACATATATATTTTGTCACTGCGAGATCATAGTTACAAAATAATTTATCACACTGAAGAACATTCTGCCTTTTCATGTGAATCAATCAAAATGTAATCATTATACATACATAAACACAATTATTACAGACACAAAATGTTGTATTTTGCAATGTAATAGAGTAACTAAAGAAGAAGTGATATAGTAAATATCTTTTGCATATATACACGAACAACATGTATATTCTATAATTCAATAAGATGTACAAAACTATATTTTTGTTCACAAAGAGACTGGTGAAGAGGATGTACGAAAAATTATAAGATACTAATAAGCCACAAATGTGTAAAGTTTTGTATGAAATGTAACCAGAATTGGAAAATGAACCTATATTTACAATCAGATGAAGATTTTAAAATTAGCCTCTAATTTCCTTGCTCTATTCGATATACACAATACTTTACACCATCGGTAACGAACATCGAAGCAAGCTGCCAATTTTTTAGCCTTAGAAGTTAGGCATTCAAACAATTTTTTAGCCTTAGAAGTTAGGCATTCAAACAATTTATTCAGATGTGAATATGCATTAATAGTCGGAATATAAATAAATGTGTAAACGTAAAAATTTCTCTACAAATCTTAACACAAAAAGTTAGAGAGTGTAAGTAGGATGTAGTATCGTTCTAATAGTTATTGCCATTTAAATAGGAATTAAATTATACAATTTCAATTAATCTATCATGTAAAAATATTTTCATGTATTACGAAATATTAAATTGCCATTGTAGATACGCTAATAAGATATATACGATATAAAACATTTAGAGCACAATAAAATTAAAGAGTATACCATGAAAATGTAGTAAGAAAATGTTTTCTTTAAAGATGAGTCATTATACATAATTATGTAATCTGAGGGCTAAGGTGTACTAAATATAGTATAGTATTGCTTAGACTTCATACGATCGATTAATACATCAATAATCTAGAAATTAATAAATTCAAAACTAACAAACCGTTCTCTTCATTAGTATGTCCATATTTGATATGTTCATGTTGGATACTAGTCTTCTCTTAGATTTCATTTTCTCTGATAATTATTTTTCATTGTACAATATATACGTAATGGTGAAAGAACAACTTTTGTTAATTTAGTTACCATTTTTATCACTAAAAAATAATTTATCATACAATGTGCCTCATAATTATAAATTAAAATAATTAACTGCCTTGACCTGTTTCTTAATTATAATGTTCAACCTAATTTGGAAAAGTTGTACTACGATTTTACGATTTTAGCAATCACACGTGCCTAGAACATGGAATTGTGCAACATATGTAATTGAAAGCAAATCATATAAACGATAAACTGGAAACTCGTGTATTCAGTTTGATTTTTGTGAAAATCCTCGTGAAACTGTATAATTTCATTATAAATAAAACTAGTCCCATAAAAAAAGAAACAACTACTGTTGTAGTTTGTACAAGAATTACTGGAGCATGGCATACAGTCATTCAAATTTTTCATTAAGATTTTCATGCTTTATTATAAACAATTTATTCAGAATAATTACGTTTGATTATTTTATTTAATTGGATTGCGTCATATCCATACATACTGATTTTAATAAAAGCTTAGCAATTGTTTTGTACAAAATTTATATGATTATTTAAAATATTTTTATTGAATTTTTAGAGCAATTACCTGTAGACTACGTGCTCGTTATTGTCAGCGCCTACGACAACAAAACCGAGCAAAACGGCCAAGTTTGTCATAGTTCCAATTCATTCCGTAGGATAGCGCCGTAAATTTCTAAATAGCAACATTGTATTATATTTGAATAGCCTATTTTATTATATTCAATAACAAATTCGTAATTATAATATAAGCATAGCGACGTTAAAATTGAATTAGGAAAACATTTCTTGACCCTTACTTCCTACAAGAAAATTTTGGACAAATTGGTCATGACATATTACATTTCTCCATTCAATAATTTAACAATGAATGAACGATTGTAAGAATAATTCCCTTGAAAGAATGTTTTATACATAATTATATCAAAAGGAATTATGTAAAGTAATAGCACTAATATATCAAGAATAAGTTCGATCGCCCTCAAAATTGTTTTGAAAGTGTGTCACAATTACAGAGTTAATCGTTTCATTTGCAAATGGTTTATATTTAACCGTTTATTTATCTAAAAACTACATGTATATTTTCGTTGTCTTAATTTAACGTTTGAATTTGTCACGTGACCATTTCATATTTTTAGCGCGTACCGCGTTCAGATAGCAGATGTGTAGGCGAGCCAATAGGAATCAGTATGAAGATATTCGTTAATCGCGCAGTGGGGAAAGGGAGTGACGAGTGACTACGAATTACAATTAGCGACACAACAGATGAAAGCGTGACGTGAATACGTCGGCTTGCCATACCGCGTCGAGATAATGTCGTTCGAGAAGAGAAACGTTGTACGTTTATAAAGCGCAGGGTACGACAAAAGAGCCCCGTAATTTAACTCGACGGCACTGTTTTGTCGCGCAGTTGCCAGAAAATGGAAGCAGACTATCAACCGACGCTAAGCCCAACGCGAACTTTGACAGGTGAGCTTATCCTTCGCGATTGTTGACGCTACCTAAAGTGTCAAATAAACGTACATATCGTTCCACGAATCCTAATTGTAAATATTTATCTGACGTCGACGCATTCCACGCCAAAGAAATAAATTATTCGAAATTCAATATTTTAAATGGCAACGAATAATATAATATTCGTTAGACAACGTAACATATTTGTCAACTTTAATTTTCAAAAGATGGGCTTAACATAGTTTGCTTTCGAGATACAGATGTTTTTTTCCGTGTACATTTGAACAAGTGAACATTTCGCGACGTGTCTCTGACTGTTGTGCAAAGAGATACGTTGACAGGCGATGAGTAATTCGCGTATTGACACGATAATGTGTAGCACGAAATCGTTGACAGATCCCAACTTGACACAATATCGTCGTTTAGATAAAATGCGTCGATTGAAAATTTCTTTTTTTAGGGGGGCTGGTACGATTCATGGCGGTTTGTAAACACCGATGAAAAGCGACAAAATGTTTATTGGAGATCGTATACCGTGTAACGCAATACGAAGAATGATATGTAACGAGAAACCGCGAAACGTATAAAAGTCATCAATTATTATGATATACCTGTTATGCAAACGATTTTTTAAAATTATTGCTTAGTATTGTTTTATCTGTCCGTTTACAAAACGAAAACCATTGATTGAATAAAGGATTGCAGTGACAGTGTCCTGCGATTCATTGAAACTTATTTGGTGCAGACATTAATGCGCATACTTCTGTTTGTATAATAGCAACAGCCAATGACGTCGAAGATCCATACCCAAGTTTGTCGGATTATCATGACTATGAGCCTAAGTTGGAGTTCGACGATACCGAGATACAGACCACTTCAAATAATGGTAAGACATTCAAGTGTGAATAATAATATTGGTATTTTAGTGCAAATACGAATTAAATTAATGTAATTTTATTGGTATTGACAATGCAAAAATAATATAATTCAATTTCTCAAAATTTCGACATCATGATATAAACTGTCTTCCTGTGTAATTGTCTAACAATAAACGTGTATGGTAAGTCAAGCATCTTGTTGTTCATTTATGATGTACTTGCTTATTTAAATTTCTTTTCTAATTTTTGTGAAGAGAATAAACATATTATCTTACAATAATTGAACTGCTGTTGCAGTTTCAAAATAATGTAATTGTTATGTGAAAATCAAGTTTGACTTTACTTCTACCATTGTCATGATTCAATTTCCAGATAAGTTGTATATATTAATCTAAATTTAAAATATATTATTTCTGTATTGTGCTAATACCAATAAAATCATATTTAATTATATGGTACCTTGAGCATAAAAAAGACAACAAAATTGTGATTTTATTTTCAGATATTATAACATTTATTATTATTATAATTGTACTATTATCACTTCTATGGCAATATTAATGCAATGTGTCAAATTCTGTTGTATTTAATTTAAATGTAAATCAAGGAATATTGACAAAAGTACTTCGCACATAGTTCCATGTAATTACTGTAGAATATAATTAAAATAATCATTTTGTAGCTGTACAACTTTTAGAAGAAAAATTGGATTTGATTAGCAGTGGCGCTGGTACTGGGATAGATTATATGGAGAGTCCAGTGAGCGATGGAACAATCGAAGAGAACTTTGAAGAAGCTTTGGTAGATGCTCCAGTTATCGAATCCGGTGTGTGACCTTTTATCTTCTGTTAGTAGCCACTAAATGTCATGGCATTTGGGGCATAGCAGGTGAATTATGTAGACCATTGTACAGTTTATTATTGCATGGTATAACAATGCACAGAAGCAAGGGACAAATGACTTTGTTATAATTTGTTGATGCTAAATTGTGTTGGGTATCTATTTAGAAAAGAAAGGAAGTCAAGGGAAAGACAGAAATAGTTTATCATTGAATGTATTGTGAGAATAATCTCTTTTAATGAGCAGCAGAGGATCTTGCTGCATTGGATGGCGAGCTTACCGACGAAGAAGATTATATTGATATTGCGAGATATGGTATTGTAGAAGTGGTTGGTGATGACAGTGCTGGTCGTAAAATAATCGTAGTATCTGCATGTAAATTACCTCCCGTTGGAAGAGAAGCATTCAATCATGCTAAACTTCTTAGGTTTGTTGTTTGTATACTCTTTAGAATTAATTTAGTTTTGTAATAAATTTATAACGATATACTTATTCAACAGGTATCTCACGCATACTTTAGATACATTTGTAGAGCAAGACTATAGCTTGGTTTATTTTCACTATGGTCTTACTTCTAAGAATAAACCACCATTATCCTGGTTATGGCAAGCGTATAAAGCTTTTGATAGAAAATATAAAAAGAATTTAAAGGCTTTGTATTTAGTACACCCAACCAATTTTATTAGAATTGTATGGCAAATATTTAAACCAGCCATTAGGTAATTTTGCTTTTTACTCTTATCCAACGAATATCCTCTTTAAGTTGATGCATTAAAATTACTCTTTAATTATTTCAGTGCGAAGTTTGGACGTAAAATGATGTATGTTAATTATTTAGAGGACTTAGCACAATATGTTAATCTTGATCAACTTATTATACCTCCTCAAGTAATAGAGTAAGCATTCTTTATATAATTATTAAATTTGTTTATATTTACTTTGCTATCGATGGCTCGTCGTACTACTGTCTACTTGTATTAATTCCTAGACATAATGAACAGCTAATGTTAAAGAATAAAAAGAATTTACCAACGAGTCCACCTCAGAGTACGGTAACAACACCAGTTGGTACCACTCAATTCGGAGCAAGTCTCCCCTTTATTAAAGAAAATAACAATAATGATCCTATACCACCAATAGTGCGACAATGCGTTGAATTTCTTGATACGCCTGATGGTAGGTACAACTAACTCATTGTTTGTATGTATCGCATATTATATCATGCGAACAGTATACTAATGATGATGTCGTAAATTCACAGCTCTAGAAACAGAAGGAATATTTAGACGGTCAGCTAATGTAGCTGTAGTTAAAGAACTTCAGCATCGTTGTAATTTAGGTCAGCCTGTAGATTTCCATGGAGATCCACATATAGCAGCAGTTCTTCTTAAAGCATTTCTTCGTGAATTAGATGAACCTCTTATGACATATGAATTGTATGATGAAATAACACAATTTCTAAGTGAGTATCACACTTGGATTCGTATTTATTATTAGTATATAATAATTGTATGAATTATTTAGTATGTATAATTCATATAAATTACGTATAAACATTTAAATACTCGTACTGTAGGTCTATCGAAAGATGAACGTCCAAGAAAAGTAAAAATATTAGTACTTGAGAAACTTCCAGAAGACAACTATAAAGTTTTAAAATATATTGTACAATTTTTATCGAGGGTAAGATATTATTCTATTAGAATTGAAACGATTGATAATTTTGTAATAAAATGCATTATTTGTAATAGGTAATGGATAGGTGCGATTTGAACAAAATGACATCAAGAAATCTTGCTGTGGTATTTGGTCCAAATCTCGTCAGAGCGCCACCCTCGCGTGGAATGTCACTTTCTGCAATAGGTCCTATTAATCAATTCATAGATTTTTTATTCATGCATCAGGATGAAATATTTATTATTTAAAGAAGTTATAGAAGCAAATGTTGAAGGCCTAATTTGAAACGAAATTAGTACTTTATGTATGTTGTAGAAAGGAAATCCTACAGGTCTGGCTGCCGAGTTTGATATCGCAAAATAACTTCGAAGAGAAATTTTATAGAATTTTTAATAAGAACTTTGACAAGTCTCTATCAGATCTTTGAAGTCATATCAAACTTATTGAAACTTAAAGTGAACGTAACAATTCATGTATAATATTCATATTTAATTATAACATCCGTACTTCGTTGATTAAAATATTTTTATATTTGAATATACAAATAGGGAAATATCTGCATACCTACTAATGTCACAAATAGCGCTTAATTATACAGCCTGCACAAGATTTTTTAATGAATTGGTACAATGATTTCAGAAAGAGAATACTGAATATTGAAATAATACAAAGAACTCTGGATGCTAGTTTAAAAATATGTAAACTTACATGAAAATTAATGGTATACCAAAGATACATGAAAATGTCATGCAATTATTGTAAAATTTAGGATTATTTAGGAATAGTATAACATAATAAAAATAGAGAAGCAGAAGTATGATGTACAGGATGCCTTGCTCGCATAATTTTATTAATTTAAGACAAATGAACATGACACAACTCATAAAAGTCATAATTAATTAACTATTGATTATATCTTGTTATAGTTGATTAGTATAGCCAAAGCGAAATATGGTAACGAATTAGTAAGTACTAATAGTATATGGCATCCTTTGTATTAAAATCATGTACACACGTACTGAAAGGAGTAGTAATGTATAAAATTTTAGTCCGATTTAATGAAACTGTCCATTTAACTATACAAGTACGAAGAATTCTAATGAATAATTAAAATAATTGCATTACACTATAAAATTGAGTTTAAATTACAATAAAACTTATTACTTTTACGTAAGTAGAGTGAAATCAATTGTCATCATGTGATTAGCATGTTATGTGATGTTTTGGTCTATAACTTTAAACGTGATCGTAATCTGTAAAATAACAGATTCTTGAAAAAAAAAAGAAAATCGCATGATCATTTTCTAGGTAAAAATAGAGATGAAAACTATAGAAATTGTTATTCATTATTATCGTAATTTAACAGTTAGATTAAAATCATTGTCAGGGTATTGTGTAATGTAATATTAACATATGTCTCGTTGTCACTTTAAGGATAAAAAAAACTTACACTAATCTTTTCAGGATCAAATATGTATCTTTGTACATTTTTTTAAATAGTCCTGCCATTATGGGTGTCTGGGATAAAATAGTCTAATCGTCTAATACATACTTTGTTATCAAAAAAGACTAACCCAGACCTATATAGAACTGATACAACTCAATTACATTCCTTGTTATTATTGATAGAATAAAATTGCTGTAATAAAGCATGATTATTTATACAGAAACTAAGATACTGAATGTGTCATAAAATGTATATTACACAATTCATAATTTCTTATCATTACTTTCAATGTTTTAAATATTTTTCTGATTCACAAACGGCCATGGACAACCCATCCATAAATTTACATCAAGCTACGATTTAAACTATGAAATAATGAATCGGTATGAAAAAATATTTATGTTGCTACAATAGATGAATTTGTGGATGTTCATGATCCATGTATGTACCTGTGATAGAGTAGAATATTTGTACTTTAGTCTCACAAATACTATGCATGTAATTAAATTAAGATAACGATATTTTCCAACAGTCCTTTAATTTGTAACTAATTATAAAACTAATCTAAATTGTGAAGTATAAAACACAAAACATTCCCAAGAAATATTGTATTACATATATGTATATGTTAATTAAGTTTTTATTAAAACACAATGGTATTTAAATATACATACATTTATGTGACAGAAATACATACATCTGGTAATTATAATAAATCTTCCAGCTATATAATATACTTGAATAACGAGATATTTGGTTTATGAATAAGCTGAGGATCTGTCAGTGTAATGAAATGTTGAAATACATGAAAATCAACTCTCAAAATATAATCAGTATTTCTTATTTTATGTCAAGTTAAATTATTTAGGCTTCATATTTCATATCTGTATTATCATTCGTTTTAAAGAAATAAAATATTACAAATTTCGATATATATAGCTTATCAGTCGCTGCCTTCGTAAACTTTGTACAATAAAATTACCGATATTAATATGTACATTATTATAAGTACTGTTTGTATATGAAATTACGCTAATTGGAGTTTTTTGAAATATTACAAGAGACCTAAAATAAATTCTTACGTATGTAAGTATAAAAATGTTTAAATTCATAATGTTCACAAAAGATGTTCAATCATTGTAGTTACAAAATCTTCATAATTTGTTATCTATGCTATGACACTGAATCATCTTTTTACTGTAACAGCATTCAATGTCTATTCGTCGTTACTTAATGCAATGATGTAATATTAAAAAAAAAAAAAAACAGTGGTAATATGTAAACTTTGTATAAATATAAAATAACAATATTTACTATTCACTTATACTATCAAATATAAACAAAAAATATATTTGGTTCTGTACTAAAATGCGATAGTACATTTTTTGCATTGTATCAATGCAATTTTGAACAAATTTTTTCATATATATGTGTAATATGTATATATATACATTTATATATACGACTTGTTCATAATTAGAACCATTTCAAACTAAACATCCGAAATTAAGAACAGCAAGAAGTCTTGACTGGTTCTGTTTCTTCAGCCTCATCTTCGACTACAACGACATTGCGACGCGTACTGTTCGTCCTTGTTAATGTAGACTTTTGTTCTACCTCGTCCGCGTGTTGCATCATCTGCTGTGTTAAATCCAAAAACATTTCTTCGATATTTTGATTTAATTTAGCAGAGGTATGAAAGTGCATAGCTCCAACTTGTTTAGCATATCTAGAAGAAAAGTTTTGATATCAGCAAACTTTCATCAAACATTTTCCATTATCTAATGTAGTTGTAAGAAGGAAATGGTATACAAACCAGTTTGTGAAACATTAACTGATATAATAGGGAAGGAAATTAAATGTCAAGAAAAGATACTTACTCTTCAGCTTCTTCTATAGAAACACTTCTATCCTTCTCTAAATCAACTTTATTTCCAGCTATCGCTAAACAAATTTCACTGCCTAACATTTTTTTGAGCTCCTTGACCCAACTTTTTACCTGTAGGACAGACATTAATACAGAATATGGAACAATAAGAAAAACATTTTTCTTTAAATGTACCTTCTGAAACGTATCTTCATCTGTAATATCATAAACTAAAATTGCACCATTAGACATTCTGTAATAGATAGGTCCTAGTGCATGGAACTTTTCCTGACCAGCTGTATCCCATATCGACAAGTTTACCTTCTTTCCATTTATAGTTAATTTCTTATTTAAAAATGAAGCCTGAAAGCAAAGAAACTTTCAGTAAAACTTACGATAAATATTCAATGTAATCTACAATTTATCAAAACCTGAATACATTGAACTTCATACATAATAAGGTAACCCAAAGTTTTTTATTTTTTCTAGTATTATTTTCATAAAACATTTTTAACTAACAAAATTTTTCTTTTGTTGTAGGTGATACATCATTTTGAAGGTACAGGAAGAAAAAAAGCTGAAGTTAAAGTAATTTTACGCTCCCTTGGACAAGGGACCCTAAATTGACGAAAAACATATACAAAGTGAAGGAACTCTTTCAATGAATAAAACGAACTTTAGAATTTGGGTAAAACACAATGCCAAAGCACAGATCACAAAAGGAGTAATTAAAGTGATATTACCTGTAATGTGCTGATGTGTCTATCATTAAACTTGTCCTCCACGTACCGCAATGCAACAGAAGTTTTCCCAACGCATCCTTCACCGAGCAAAACCACTTTGAAATTATAACCATTAACATTGCTACTAACCGAATTGGCCATAATTTGCAAATAACTAATCTATGTACTTAGGAAATAATATCAAGCTTATTATTACGCCGAATAATGATCGATTGTATTGTTTACAGAGTATATTAGCAAGTGTCCATCATAACGATTTGGAACAATGACTGAGCTGCAGCAGTACGTATTTATATTTTTATTTCTATTGGACAACGTCAAAACGAAACAATCAGCTGTTTTCATTCCAGTGACCACCGACAAACAAGAAGCAAAAACATCTATTCTTACTTCAAACGTATCGCCGATAGATGGCAAATCACGAATATTTGTTAAAGATACTCTTCTCTAACAATGTTAACGTATTTCCAACGTAAGTATTTTACGATGGAAATCTATACAAAATTCAGCTTTGATCGTCATACATTAACGCGATGTTATCAATCATAATAACGTTGACAATGTTGATAATATTCGTCTTCGATGCGTTACATTTAAAAAGCTGCATCTACGCATAATTTCTTTTTTTATCGTATACAAGACTCGCGAAGATGGCGCCACATCATTGTTACTAAGCGGCCGAAATCCTCCTCGAATTATTCTGACAAAAGATATCTCGTTGCAAATTTCGGATACTTCAACGATTGTATATAGATTTATAAGTCGAAGTTTCGGAAAGATGGACGTTTCGATCATATTTGTATCTTAAAAAACGAATTTTGACTACCTCGGAGCCCTGGTGGGATTTCGTCGAACTGATGCCCGACAAAAATCAAATCCTACACCGGAAGTCAAATTTGCACGAGTAAGAACAAATTTAAGAATTATATTCGATGTAGCGTCAGAACAAATCAATTACAATATGTATAAAATTTATTTATGAATAAATATACTTGTTTAGAATCAGAAAAGGCACCAACACGGAAAAATCCGAATTTCTCATTGGATACTTACGGACGTTCGTTTGGCTAGAGTATGCAACGGAGCCAGCGCCGTGAGTCTGCGCAAAGGAGTTCTCAAATCTGGCCGTCACCTGTATTGAAAAGGTAAGAGACTCTGCTGTCATTAATCTCGGCATCTTAATGTGAATTTCACGAGCACGTGTCGCGAAAATACGACGTATTGATAACGCGACGCGTTGTCAGCAGCCTGGTGGATTGTCATGCGAGATTACTCATGTGTTACGGATAAATATGTTCCGAGATGTCAGGCGTCTTCGGCTCCCGTGGTCGGAATCTGCCAGGCTGCTGCTCTATCATCGCCGATACATCTGACATTTATTTATTTACTTATGCATTCGTTCTGTCAATGCGACCTCGGTGTATGTTAACGTAATCATCGAAATCTCGGTGGTTTATGTCAAGCGCGGCAAGAAACTTTCACCAGTCGCGACGTTGGGTACCGCGTTACCTTCACGAATTTTTCATTGTCGGCACTGGTCACCGCATTGACAGGACATGAAATAACGCACAGAAAAGGTCCTTCGTGGACCGTCATAAATATCGACTGATTACTACGTGTTGTTCATCTTTCGCATTGACAATGATTCCCGCCGTTTTTACTTGCGCGGTGCTCCACTTGGCAAGTAGACTTGTTTGTTTGTGCGTGCCGTATCATCTGTCATGGCGTGCCCGCTTGTGGCGGGTATCGTAATCGTTCACTTTTCTCGCTGTTGTACGCTTAAGGTTCATGTCAGTTAGCATCATCGCGCGAATTATTCGAAAGGTATCGTTCGATTAATTTCGAGGAAATTAATTGGGAAAAATGTTATACATATACAATAATTCGGATAGAATATGCTCAGGGTCGGATTAAGACATGGGTGATTTTGGGCTACAGGGGGCTCTCCGCCAGCTGGAGGACATTCAGACATTATATTAACAAAATGGAATTGAAACATTGATGAAAATCAAACTTGCAGTCTTGTATATAAGTATTTATTAATGTTTCAACTGTTTGATTGAAATTCTTAGAATCTGTGAATAATATCATTTTATTTGAGTTTAAAGCAAATTTTTTTTGGAAAGTTTGTGTGACATTATTCCTAAATGGAAATTAGGGTAGAGAACCCTCAGGTTTTATAGTTATGTTTGATTGTAACTACAGTGCGGGTTTAGCAATGTGAGGTACCCAAGCTAGAAGGGAATGTAAAGCATGAACAATTCTAAGACAAATACATTAGGTGTTATAGTCAAGTTATACAATTCAGTACCCTAATAAGTAAAAGTTCATCATGATAGAAAACGAAATGTATATATTTAGAATTGGGTATAACCATGAATCATCCAGAAGCTTCTAATATCTACAAATTGTCAAAAGAAAGCGGACAGGTTGATAGTAAAGTAGTATTCCTACTCTTGCTCAATAAAGATTTAGATACACATTCAGAGAAGAAGAAAATATAAGTAGATTAGTACAAAATTTAAATAAGCATTAATTTGTTTGCAAAATTAGATAAAGTCACATTGTTTTATAACTCAGGCTTGTAGGAAGTCTCATTGCCATCATTTGCTAACAAAAACAAGATTCAGACACATGAAATTTAGATTACAGAGTACTTGTTATTGGTAATGAAGTATTTGTTAATGTGAATATTTTACTATAACTGATTTTCTACCTGATGCTATTGCTATCTACTTTAATATACTACTATACAACTTAATTCAGTGACTATTAACACAATATCGAAGAATAATGTGACAAGGGCATAGAATCAAATCATACAAGCTCAGAATTGCATTATAAAATAAAAGAGTGACATTTATAATGAAAGAATTAAACGAATATAAGAAGAAAAAGTAAAAGCATGGATTTCATTTAAAACAGATATTTTCTGAAATTCAGAAATGTTTAGGGTGAAACAGTATAATACAATAAGATCAGTAAACATTTACA